GCTAGTCTTTGCCAACGGTGTAACACGAGTTTTTATTTGAATATAATCGATCTAGATGGGAAAAAAAACCATTTAGATTATCTTGTTCTTGTTAAATTAGTAAATTTTAAATAAGTAATTTAAATCTCGTGTTATTCTTTCTGATTTGATTGTTTTCTCTATATTGGTGCGGCCACGGAAACATTTTTCTTTTGAGTTGACTTGACCTTAAACCTCACATTCTCTCTCCTCTCCCTGTTCCTAAAATCCTTGCACCATCATTCTTACGACTCAGTCTTCTCTCAATATGCCATGGTAACAAAGTAAACCACTTGCTTATTCTTCTCTCCACAAATAAATTTTGTTGGAAAAAAAGAGACGAGAAATTTCGTCGAAATGGAGAAATAAAAATAGTTTATCTTTTTTATTTTCTTCTTTTGTCAACTCATTCACACCCAAATTCAAACGTTTCTTCTCCGATCTCTGTCCATTATTCCCCTTTCCATATCTTTCCTTGTAAAGTACTCTGTTTTACCTTCACACGCCATTTTTTCTTTTTCTTTTTCTTTCATTGACTTGTGTAAAAATCCTTACAAGAAGTGGATGATTGTTTAGACAGAAGAAAGATACTTGTACATATTTGATCAAAGGGGCAAAAAAGGGTTTGGCTTAAATTTCTTTGTGGTGATGGGGCTTTGCTGGTCTTCTTCATCTGATTCTCCTTCAACAACAACACCTAGCACCACTGGTAACATCAGTTCAGGTTTGTCTTCTCAATTCTCTCCCTATTTTTGATTTCAATTTCCCATATGGGTGGGTTTCACTGATTCATCACGAAACCAGTGTCTGATTTATGTACTTGCTTGTTCGATTCATAAAGGTTACGCCTTTACATCTATGTGTATGGTTAAACGATGAAAAGACTGTTTTTGTTGTTATCTCATATGGGTTTTACAGAAAGTTTCCTCTTTTGATTAATAGGCGTGTGTTCTCTTGTTGTTGTTTGTTTAAATTGTATTCCAAAAATGTTGTTTCTTGGTGCTTCTGATCGTGTGTTTTGGGCTTGACTTTGTTTTCCTATGGTTTCTAATTGAAGTAGGAGCAAAGTCATCAAACAACACGACGACTACGGGAACATCAAGGGGAAGTAACATATCTAGTGTGTTCTCTGCGGGAAGTGGCGACGATGCTTACCCCGAGGGTCAGATACTTCCCGTTCCGAATTTGAGGATATTCAGCCTCGCGGAGCTTAGAGCTGCAACGAGAAATTTCAAGTCTGAGAATGTTCTTGGAGAGGGAGGATTTGGGAAAGTCTTCAAAGGCTGGCTTGAAGAGAAGGGACCGGGGAAGCAAAGCAATGGAACAGTTATCGCTGTCAAGAAACTGAACTCCGAAAGCTTCCAAGGATTCGAGGAATGGCAAGTGAGTAGAGTCTTCTTCGCGATTGAATTGTTGGAAAGTAGTTTTCTCTGATATGCAGTGAGGAGTTTTGTTTGTTTACTCGATGGATTTCTTTGTTGGTTTTTGTGCAGTGTGAGGTGAATTTTCTTGGGAGGATTTCTCATCCGAACCTCGTGAAGCTATTGGGATACTGTTTGGAGGGTGATGATTTGCTTCTTGTATATGAGTTTATGCAGAAAGGTAGCTTAGAGAATCATCTCTTCCGAAGTAAGAACCTTCTTTAATCACAATCTTTTGCTTATATACAATATACACAAGTCATTTAGATATTAAGATTGGAATGATTCCCCAATCTCCAGAGGGTTCTTCTGTTCAGCCGCTCTCATGGGAAATAAGGCTTAGGATCGCCATTGGAGCGGCTAAAGGATTAGCGTTCCTGCACGCTTCAGAGAAGCAAGTAATTTATAGAGATTTCAAAGCTTCAAACATTCTACTTGATGCAGTAAGTAAATACGGATGGTTTATGGATTTGATGTAGCAAATCATTAAGCTTGGGATTTCAACTGGTTTTCTCTTGTTGCAGTCATATAACGCAAAGATATCAGATTTCGGATTGGCGAAATTAGGTCCTTCAGCGAGTCATTCTCACATCACAACACGGGTTATGGGTACAGAAGGTTATGCAGCTCCGGAGTATGTTGCTACAGGTACTACAATGTCTCTCTTATCTTCTTGGTTCATTTGGTTTCCGACGACAAACTGTGAACATGTTGGTTGGTTCTAACAGGTCACTTGTATGTAAAGAGTGATGTTTATGGGTTTGGCGTTGTTTTGGCCGAGATCTTGACTGGTTTACATGCGCTTGATCCTACCCGTCCGTCAGGGCAACACAATCTAACCGAATGGATTAAACCTCATCTATCCGAAAGAAGAAAGCTGAGGAGCATAATCGACCCTCGTCTAGAAGGAAAGTACCCTTTCAAATCCGCTTTCCGAGTCGCTCAATTGGCACTGAAATGCCTTGGACAAGAACCAAAAAACCGTCCGTCGATGAAAGACGTGGTGGAAGCGCTCGAACTCATTGAAGCTGCCAATGAGAAACCGTTGGAGCGAAGAACCACTAGAGCTTCCCCATCCTTAACTCACCAACAAGGCCATTATCGCCGAGAACATCTCTCTTCATTTCGACCGCGCCAAACCGTGGCTCGACCTCGCTAGTGTTGTTCTTGAACACACGAGATTCTTTTTTTTATCTCTCTGGTTTTTGTATTTGTTGAAAGATAATTAGAACCACATGGTGATGTGGTATACCACATGGAACCAATAGACAAGACAAGGCAATGCATCTATTGTAACTATTTATGTGTGTAATGATAATTGCTGAAAAAATTAAACAAAGATTAGAATATATATATAAGCTTCAACTTCAAGTGTTAGCCATGGAAATGGACCTTAGAAATGGGATCACAAAGTGGCTTCTTGCGTTCAAAGTTACAAGCTTTGTCGTCGAAGATTAAGCAAGCTTCCGTTAATGGAAAATGGCGGGAAGTGGTCTCTGGGTATTCAGAGATACAAAGAGCTGGAATTCAACTTGACGATCCTTTCGTTTTCCCCATAGTTTTCAAAGCTTGTGCTAAGCTCTCATGGCTGTTCCATGGTAGATGTATCCATGCGAGTCTAATCAAGAGAGGATTTGATTCTTTTGTTTCTGTAGGGAACTCGAGTTCTGATTTCTACATGAAATGCGGAGACTTTTGTTCAGCGATGCGAGAATTTGATTGTATGACTTCGAGAGATTCGGTGTCTTGGAACTTAATCGTTTTCGGTCTTCTCGATAATGGTTTCGAAGAAGAAGGGTTATGGTGGTTTTCGAAGTCGAGAGTTTTGGGTTTTGAGCCTAATGTTTCGACATTGGTTCTTGTGATTCGTAGTTTACGATCGTGCCTCGATGGAGAGAAGATTCATAGCTATGTGATTCGTAGTGGGTTTTGCGGGATTTCGTCTGTTCAAAATTCGATCTTGTGTATGTATGCAGAGTGTGATACGTCGAGTGTACGCAGACTGTTCGACGAAATGTCTGAGAGAGATGTTATTTCATGGAGTGTGGTAATTCGTAGTTATGTGCAAAGGAAGGAACCTGTTCTTGGATTGAAGTTGTTCCGTGAGATGGTTCATGAGGCGGAAACAGAGCCTGATTGTATAACTGTGACAAGTGTTCTCAAGGCCTGTGCGGTTCTGGAGGATATCGATGTGGGAAGATCAGTTCATGGATTATCTATACGTAAAGGCTTTGATTTTGCAGATGTGTTTGTGCGTAATTCACTCATCGATATGTATTCCAAAGGATTTGATGTTGATTCAGCATTTAGAGTATTTGATGAGACTACTTGTCGAAACATTGTTTCATGGAATTCGATTTTGGCTGGGTTTGTACATAACCAAAGGTACGAAGAGGCTCTTAAGATGTTTCATTTGATGGGAAAAGAGGCGATTGAAGCGGATCAAGTTACTCTCGTGTCTCTTCTCCAGGTTTGCAAGTTCTTTGAGCAGCCATATCCCTGTAAATCAATACATTGCGTGGTAATCCGGCATGGATATGAGTCGAACGAAGTTGCTTTGAGCTCTTTGATTGATGCATATACAAGCTGCAATCTTGTTGATGATGCAAGAACCGTGCTTGATTCGATGGTGTACAAGGATGTAGTGTCATGTAGCACAATGATCTCTGGATTAGCCCGTTCTGGGAGACCCGATGAAGCAATCTCAGTCTTCTGTCAGATGAAGGATAAGCCCAATGAGATCACCGTCATAAATCTTCTTGACGCATGTTCGCTTACAGCAGACTTGAGAAAATCCAAATGGGCACATGGAGTTGCTCTCCGGAGAGGCTTAGCCACAACTGACATCTCAGTTGATACCTCTATAGTTGACGCATACGCAAAATGTGGTACCATAGAAATCGCGAGAAGGACATTCGATCAAATTCCTACGAAAAACGTTGTCTCCTGGACAGTGATCATATCAGCATACGCCATTAACGGTTTACCGGATAAAGCATTAGTATCATTTGAAGAAATGAAACGAGAAGGTCACACACCAAACGCTGTGACGTATTTAGCAGTTTTATCAGCTTGTAATCACGGCGGATTGATCGCGCAAGGTCTCATGATCTTCAAATCAATGTTTGAAGATCACAACAAACCTTCGTTGCAACATTACTCTTGCATTGTTGACATGCTTAGCCGAGCTGGAGAGATTGATACAGCGATGGAACTAATCAAGAACCTTCCAGAAGACGTAAAACCCGGGGCTAGTGCTTGGGGATCAGTTCTTAGCGGTTGCAGAAACCGTTCAAAAAATGGGATCATTCCCTCAGAGGCAATAGCTGAGGTTCTTGAGCTTGAGCCCTTGTGTTCTTCAGGGTATGTACTCGCGTCAAGCGTGTTCGCTGCTGAGAAATCGTGGGACAATGTAGCGACGATGAGGAGGCTGGTCAAAGAGAGAAAGGTTCGGGTCGTTGCGGGTTATAGCATGGTTCTTGAAGGAACCATAACTAGGAGGTTTTTGGCTGGGGAGAAGCTAAACCAGAGTGGTTGTGAATTAAACGACGTCGTTCATAGTCTTCATAGATGCCTGAGGTTAGACGATTCGGAAGGCCCATTAAAATTGTGCTAAACGACGTCGTATCGATTCTCGGATTCACATGTAATGAAATTTAACATGTACTCCCTCTGTTTCAAAATATAAGTTGTTTTAGCAAAAAAAACACGGATATTAAGAAATTACTTTTTAACTAAAAAATATTATTTAATATATCTAACAAAAATAATTTAACCAATCACACAAAAGACTGCAAAATACTAATGGTCATACAATATTCAATAAAGTTAAAAGTATCTAGTATTGTCAAAACAACTTACATTTTAAAACAAAAATAAAACTCTAAAACAACTTTTATATTGAAACGGGGGAGTAATGAAATTTAAGGAAGGAGTCGGATATGAGCATGGGTATTCGGGTTTTCGGTCAGGTTTGATTACGGTTTTGTCGGGTTTTTGAAATTGGCTCTATTTAGTCTCGAATTGGTTGGTTCGGATGTGCTAAATCGTCCGGATTAATATAATAAATTCGGCACGGCTCTTATGAACCGAAT